TGAATGCATTCAAGTCCTTTGGTTGATCTCTCCCCCTTCACCCCTCCCCTTCCCTCCCTTGCCTCTGAGGGCTGGCAGTCTGTTCGATGCTTCTGTGTGTCTCCTAGCTTCCTGATGTTCATGCGTTGCCTTCAGGTGACCTACTTAAGGCAGCCTGCTCCTGTAAGGGCTCATTCATGTGCTGATTCCCTCCTGCTGGGTGAACGGCTGAGTACCTCGCTTTGTCCTGCTCTCCTGTTGGGCTGGCCCTTGGGCGTCCTGCTGGAAACGGCCCCTCCGTTCCTTTTGCCGTCCTTGCGATGACTCCCTCCCTCACGTGTGCTTATGTTCCTGTGCGGCCTTCCCAGGGGCGGGAGCCTTTTCCTGCCAGGGGCCAACTGGACCCTAGCCCTCACCCAACCAATCGGGGTCAACCAAAGCTGACCCCTATAAAACCCTCTGATCTGTTGAAGCTCGCTCTCTCCTGCCACGCCGCTGTCGGTGTAAGTGGGACAGAACTTGGACTAGTCCGAATACAGGCTTTTTGCTATTGCATCAGACTCGGCTCCCTGGTGGTCTTTGGGGATCACGAAATCTGGGCATAACAATGTCACAAACGGGACATCTCTGTTCCTCCATCCCAGAGAGCATTGTGGAAAAGGGGGTCACTTTCGATTCTAAGTGAGCCAGGAGGGGCGGAGCTAGGAGAAAGGCTTCCAGGTACTTCATGTGACAGCTGCCCTCTTATGAAGCAAGCTGACCACCAGGGGGCTAGGAGGGAGAGGGCGTATCACCTGAAAGGAATGTTCCTGTGTAGGGTAGTGGGCCCACTGCTACTGCCTTGGATCACACAGCTCTCAACAAGCCCGCACCACTTGGCAGCCAACCCATGGCAGCCTGGGTCACATGCGGCGTATATCCGGCCTCCGTGCCCTTTCCTGCAGAAGCCCGATGTCTGCTTCCCCCAAACTCTGCTCTCTCAGCTCCCTAACAAACTCCTAAGGAGCTCTGGAGTGGCCAGCCCCTTTCTCAGGTCTTCTTGGCTGGGCGGATGAGGCAGCTTTAACTCATCTTCAGGCCGACTCCATAGGCCTGCGGACTTAGCAGTCAGATGTGCTGATGACAATGGGAAACCCGGGGGAACAGTTCACGGCAGCAGCCCCAACTTGGGACCCTCAGGGCTGCCTGGGCTTCCCGGAGGAGCCAGGGAGAAAAGCTCCCGGGACGTTTTGCCTTTGGAACAGGGCTGGACACTGTGTTGGTGTCCCCAGCAGGCCCGGCAGCACCGGGTCATGATCACAAGATCCCACCCTGCCTGAGGAGCATCCGGGTACAGTTCCCTGCAACTGCCCCTTACCCACGGCCGCCTCCCCTCGCTGGCCACTTCCTGGGGGAGGGCACTACCACCGATTCCCTTCCTCCTGGGACCCGAGGTCCCTCTCTCCCGTGAGGAGTTGCTGAGGAGACAGCAATGGTATCAGGTGACAAACCGTGTGTACAACCAAGTAGGTTTCACAGAATGCGTCCATTTGGTAAAATGCCCAGGCCTGGGGCATCCAGCAGGCGCCACAGGATGGGCGGGAGGTGGCCTGTTGGGGAAAAGACAAAATCTGCCCGCTACCTGCACCCCACCTTCTCCCGCTTCTCCCCCCAAGCAGTAAGACACTCAGCCGGTCAAGAGGTGAAGTTCCTGTTTATTGTTGCAGCAACTCTTACAGACATTAGCGTTCCGTTAAATAAAGGAAGAGAACACATTAAATACATCACAACCCCCAGCACACCACGGAGGAGGGGAGGGCGGGCGGGCGGGGCCAGTGACCGGACTGTGGGGGGTAAGTACATTCAGTGGGTGCGGCGTCCACATTCCACATTCCGGGCTCACGTGTGTATATATACTTTATTTATATATTTATTTATATCTATATATAGAGATCATCGAGTTCTGTGTATACAAAGAACGATATCGGTACAAATAACAATACTATATTTTCCCACTGCTTTACAATAAGCTCTGCTCTATCCTCTTTACAGAACAAATAGTACAGGTTCGTCCTGGGGGGGGGGCTGTGCTGGGTGCATCCACAAAACCTCCTTCCCACACCGTCCCTCTGCGCTGCCTTCAGGGTGTGTGTGTGTGTGTGTGTGTGTGTGTGTGTGTGTGTGTGTAGGTCAGCCAAACCAGGGAAGGAGCAGATAATCTCAAAACAAGGGGTGTGTGAGTGGGAGAGTGAACAGGTGTGCGGGGAGGTGGCCCTTGGTTGTAAACATTGGTGACAGCCACCCCCTGGCTCTGTGACTCGTGGATGGTGTCCTCAGTGTGCAGACGGGGCGTGGGGGTGACGGGAGCAATGGGGGAGGTAGTAGGTTACTCGGGGACCCTCAGAGGCCGGTGTGCATGGGTCGTGTTCACGAAGCAGAGCCGTCTGCAGGGCCTCGGAGTCCAGCCCCCTGAGGATGGACTCCCCAGGCCCTGCAGAGCCCGTTACAGTGAGGGAAGAGGTCTCCACCTGGGAACCCGAGGCTGAGGGTGGCTCCCTGAAATGGTCGCATCTGAGAAGGCGGGTGGGGTGGGTTCTGGTGCCTCCTGGCTGGGAGTCATCAGCATGCCTCACGGAGCAGCTCTGCGCCCAGGCCGTGTTTGGGGTGCTCGGTACACGGTCCTGCCCAGCACACCGTGTCCGGATGTCACATGTACAGCTACTCATCCTGGAGCGTCAGGGGACACCGACCACCACTTCCCGAGGGGGCTTTCAAAATCGGAGCTTCTAACACGTAAGGCCCTGCCTCCTGGTTCACCACAGGGACTGCCCTTCCTCCCTCCAGCGGGTGACCGTGTACCGAGCTCCGTAAACGTGTGCTCGCTGTGCGTGCTGGGCCGCTCCTAGCAGGAAGGAGGGTGGTGGGGAATATCGTGACCCTCCGCTAGGCCAGCTTATCGAGTTGGCTTTCCCAGCCCCTGGCCAACTGCCGAGGTTTCCCGTGCAGCAGAGTAGAGAGAACTCTCCTCCCTCTTTGGGGGAAGTCACGTCACTGTGATTACGGGGAGGCTCACAGGGACAAGCTAGCGAGGTCCCGTTCCGGCCCATCTGGGCGGCTTCTGAACGGGCAGGCGGCCCGTGGCCACCCTGGGGGCTTTCCCAGGCTCCCGAGGCCTGAGACACACCAATACCGCTGCATCATGTCTTACCTCCTCCTCTCTCTCTGGCAGAGGATGCCGAGCTTAACCACTCTGTAGTACTTCATTACAGTACCACACACTGGACAGTTGGAAAGTGGGAACTGGACCCGTGGTTCCTGCCTGCCCACCGGCTCCCCGGAGGACAGCGCAGCCCCTCCTCCCAGCGCTCACTGACACACACCCAGCGCCCAGCCGCCGGTGGCTTTGAAACATTCGGCCTTCCTGACCTGAGGCAGGAAACTCGGAAGGTACAGAGATCCCCAGGGAACAGAGGGAACACAGCTGTCTCTCTGGTCCGAGTCTCCTGGTCCTCATCTCTTTATATTCGCTCTTCTCCCTCCCTGCGACCCCTCCCCAGTCGATCTATAAATACATACTACCCAACGTGTGCTCACCGAATTCCTACGTCCACAAGCACAACATAAATATCCCGTGTGCAGAGAACAGGGACTATATTAACATTATAAAATATATTAGTTTCTCTCTTCCCCGTCTCTGCGGAGGTCAAGAACACAACAACAACAAAAAAACAACAAGCCACACCCTGTCCACGTGAAAACAAAATGCTCTTTGGACCAAAGAATAAGTAAACACTGGCTCAGAATAAAATTAAAATATTTTCACCGAACTGAGACGGGACTCATACACAGGAGGCACCGGATTAAAAAAAAAAAAAAAAAAGTCACCCTCCACAGCGATGACATGCTCAGGCCCACGAGGCAGTGAGGGGAACACGCTGGGGACTCGGGCGTAGCTTGAGGTCACGGTTGGCCCCTTAGTTCTCTGGTTTGTGTGCTCTCCGGCCGTTCCCAGGTCCCAGCCTGCCTAGTGGCCCTGAGCAAAGGAGGAATGTCACACGGACACATGTGCGTCCCCATCTTCCAGGTGAGCAGTCCCACCTCCCCAGGCTCCCTGTGTGTGTGTGTGTGTGTGTGGCGGGGGTGGGGGAGGGAGGGCCGAGAGGGGAGCCACCAGAATACTGAACCAAGGTGGTGCTGGCAGGGCCGGGCCTGAGCCAACGAAGGATGTCTCTCCCAGGACAGAGCTGACCAGCCCAGGGGTCGCATACAGAGGTAATGGGGGGTCTCTAGGGGCTCTGGGTGCCTCCCGGGTGGAGGGGAAGAGGAGAGGAGGATATAAATGCCAGTGAGACTGTGTGTACATACCCGTGGGTGACATGATGGAGGCAGACAGCACCTGCCCATGTTCATCTGCCTGTGTAACCTCAGGACCACCTGGACGCAATGATGTCCCAGGAACTGCCAACCCGGGGTGCCATCCTTGGGGGAGGGCTCCCGTTAGGAAACAGCTGTGCTGACGTTAGACCTACACAAGGGGCCTTAGGTGGCTGAGAAACCCTGGGCAGAAAGGATGGATGGCGCCCAGGTCCGTGGTGGGCCAGTCTGTGACCACCGATGCCCACACAGGCACTCGAGGAGAGCGGAGATCAGCGAGGGGCTCGCAGGCACTGCGGAATCAGCTTCCTGCCGCCCCTCCGGGCGCCTGGAAGAGGCTGGCCCCTCCTGGGAAGGGAGCATTCCCCCTCGGGCGGTGCCAGCCCTCCTGCGCCCAGAGGGCCCTCGGGACAGTCCAGTCCTGGGCAGATACCAGGTGGATACGGGCCGTTCTCCAGCCTCAGGGGAGTGCACACAGAACCTCCCTGGTGCTAACAAGTAAACAGGAGAGGCCGAGAGAGAGCACAGTCTTTCCGGAGGCCCCCCTTCCTGTGTGAGACCGAGGGAGGGCACGAGGGGGAGGCTCAGAGGGCACACAGATGCAGCACGAGAAACACAACCACAAGCGAGGAGAGTCCTCCATGCATGCGCCGGGCGGCGGCGCAGCCTCAGATGTACACGGGCTGCTCCTGGGCCGTCAGCAGTCTGTACATGGCAGCCGGCATCGTCTTCATGTGAATCTGCGGGCAGAGGCAGACGTTAGTAGGCGTGGAGGCTCAGGGCCCAGGGCTGGGGGAGAGGGGTGCCTCCCACCAGGGGTGGGTGTGAAGATACCTCCAAACCCACTGCTAGCAGGAGCCTGCCTCTGGGAAGAGTAACGGGGGGTGGGGGTGGGGGGAAGAGGAGGGGAGGGACAGGGTAGCCGGGAAGACCAGGTCAGGTTTATTTTCCCAGTCAAGTGCTTTTGTTCTCATTGGGGTCAGAGGGCTGTTCCCGGCATCTCCTGCCCCACCCCAGCTGGCGGGGAGGGCAGTGACGGGAGCGGTCAGCACCTGCAGGCGCTTCCTTCCATTTTAAGAATGCTCTCCTTTTTTTTGGCGAGGGATGGTGACTAGACTTTTAGGGGTGATCAGTTTGTCATGCATACAGATGTCCAGTTATGATACTGGACAGAACTTTATGAAAAAAAGTGAGCAAATCACTCTCCAGGGGACTTGATCTTGTCTCAGAGAGATGCTCTTGGACCTCTTTCATTACTGACTCTCCAGTCTGTAATCAGACAGACAGACAGACTGCTCTGGCTGCTGAGCGCTCGGGCTTGGCCAGGCCGGCCCGAGGCTCCGGGCAGCAGAGGACCCCAGCCGCGGCCCCACGCCTACCTCCCCCACAGCGTTGGAGAGGATGTGGACGATCTTCTCGTGAGGGGTGGCCACCACGCTCTGCCCGTTGATCTCGATGATCCGATGCCCCACGCGGACGCCTCCCCTCTCGGCGATGCCCCCTCGCATGAGGCTGCAGATCTGCCGGAGTCAAAGGCCCGGGTTACCCCTGTGGGCGGGGAGCGGGGTGGGGACAGAGCCTGTCCCTTCCGGAGGCCCTGCTCCTCGCCTCCCATCGCCGCGAAGCTGCCACGGGGAGGCTTCCCGCCTTTCCATCCTCGCTGCTTTTCACAGGAAACAGGGTTCTGAGCGCCCGGGCGGCCAGCTCCTTCGTGCACGCGGGACAGGGGACGTGGCACGTCACTGGGCTTCACGCACTCGGAATCCTGCCCACTTCTCATCCCGGCTGGGTCTCCGTGAAGAGAGCGGGCGGGGGCTGTCCCTGAGCCGCCAACGTTTTCAAACGGCCAGCCTGTGCGCCTGGGGTGAGTTTTACTTCCCACAGTCGCTAGGGGCTCAGCTGCCAAAATGTATAATGCTGGCAGCCACTTTTTTTAAAAAAAATATATTTTATTGATTTTTTTACAGAGAGGAAGAGAGAAGGACAGAGTTAGAAACATCGATGAGAGAGAATCATCGATCAGCTGCCTCTTGCATACCTCCTACTGGGGATGTGCCCGCAACCAAGGTACATGCCCTTGACCGGAATCGAACCCGGGACCTTTCAAGTCCGCAGGCCGACGCTCTATCCACTGAGCCAAACCGGTTTCGGCTGCTGGCAGCCACTTTTTAGGGTCACAGTGACATGAGCCAAACTGGGGCTGGAACCCCACTCCGTGCCCCAGAGTGAGGCCAGCGGGAGGGGAGCTGTTCCTGCCGCCTTCCCAGCTCAGTGCCCGGACCGGACTCCCTTCTCCCAGAAAGGGCAGCGGCGCGGGGCTGTGACCCGGAGGGCGGAGGCTGCAGGCTTGTGAGCCTGCGCTTCCTTGATGGGAGGGTCCCGGGCCGGGCCCTGCAGGGGAGAGCCACCTCCACCTCACACCCAGAATACTCGGAATCTCCCCAGAAGAATATGCTCTGAATTTATAAAGCTGACTTATCACCGAGACGGTGAGCCGCTATTTAAAAGCCCACGCAGCCCTAGCTGGTTTGGCTCAGTGAGGGCCTGAGGTCCCCGGTTCCATCCCCAGTAGGGGGTGTGAAGGAGGCAGGTGATCAGTGATTCTCATCACTGATGTTTCTATCTCGCTTTACCTCTTCCTTCTTCTCAGAAATTAATAAAATATATTTAAGAAAATAAAATAAGCCTCTGCACCTCCTGCCCTGTGAGCACGGGGAGACCTGCAGCCCACCAGGCCCCGTGGCCAGAGGTTCCTCAGGTGCAGGCCACTCTGTAACTGAGAATGAGGCCCAGCAGACCCTCATCTACTGAGTGAGAACCTTCTGATCCTATTTGAACTTTTCATATTACTCAAATAGGAACAAAGCAAGTGGGGAGCATAGACAGAAACAGGATGCCAGACTAAACCGACAAGGCGTCACGGGCACTCCTCTCCGAAAAGGAAACAGCGCCACCCAGGGACAGAGGTCAGAAAACGTGGGCTGGGTGCTTCACCTCCAGCAGGGATCTTCACGTGGGTATTTCCAAACCTTAAAACTACTTGAAATAACATTTTTGGTTACCTAAAACGCTTAGCTGAAATTTGAGGGGGAAATTTTTTTTTTTTTTTAAATCTGGAAGGATGAAAATCAAGAGGACAGATTGGCCACCCAAACCCAGAATGCCGATGACAGCAGAAAGGCCAGCTGGGCAAGAGGAAGGGCACTGAGTAGGGAATTTCTGTCTGCGACGAGAAGTTCTAGAAAGCGCGATGGCCTATCACTTATTGAAGGCCCTTTAATTTTATGCTTCAAAATAGTTTAAATGGTCAAGTTAAGATGTATGTTTTATCACGAGGAGAAAAGGAAGTATTATTTTAAGGTCGATGACCAAGGGATACAAATACTCTATATTCCCAAAGGGCCAACTGAGGTTAAAAAGGCAAAGCACAGCCCGGCTGGCGTGGCTCAGTGGTTGAGTGTTGACCTATGAACTAAAAGGTCACAGTTGGATTCCTGGTCAGGGCATATGCCCGGGTTGTGGGCTCTCTCATTATTATTTCTCTCCCTCTCTGAAATCAATAGTCCTCCAGATGGTTCTCAGCCTGAGCCATGAGCTGGAATCATCAGCAGCTTTGAAATGCCCCCCCTCAGCGCTCCACACCCTGGCCCAGGGACAGCATCAGCCAAGGGTGGGGACAGGGGCAGCCCCCAAGGCTAGAGGGGAAGGAAGCCCGAGCTGGTACATCCTAAGCTACCTCGCGTTAGCAGCTGGGAGGCCATCCTGCCTGGTCACCTGGCTCTGAGGCCAGGGCTCTGAGCAGGCCCCTCTCTCTCAGGTAGAGAAGCACAGATTCTCCACCCAAAGAGGAAGCTGAGCCTGCCTTCACATTTTTGGTTACCTACAACACTTAGCTGAAATTTGAGGGGGAAAATTCACCCCCTTCCTTGCTGGATTCTTTCAGGGAACGGACCACCTTTAAAAATGAAAACTAAGATTCCAAACTGTGTCACATTGGCGCCTGGCTTTTGGAAAAGGGCGTGGAGCTGTACTTACAATTCCGTTCTGGACGCTGAAACCCAGCTGGTAGCGAAGGTCCGGCCTCCGGATCAGCACGGTGGTCACCGGCGGGCACCTCACAATGTTCAGCTTCACCCGGGCCTGGTTCTTCAGGCCCTGAAAGGGAGCAGAGCACCGTGGGTGTGGTGGCCACGCAGGCAGGCAGGCAGCAGGCAGCACCGGAGGCACAGGAGCCCAGGGAGGACCTAACCCTCCATGGGCTCCCTAAGCTCCCACAGTCCCTCGGCTCGGAGAAACCCCTGCCTTACACGGAGCCCTTGGGGGGCCTGTGCAGAGACTGGCGACGAGGGCACGGTCCTCACGTCGGGGGCGGGCTGTGCAGAGACCTGAAGGGTCGTCTGTGCCACACACAGGCCAACTGCCACGCGTGCTCGCGGCTTGGCAGGCGAGGGCGGCACAGTGTCCCCTGGCCAGGAGACAGACAGCGGGAAACACTTTTTTCTCCGATACGCAAACTCAAGCAAAGGAGTCTATTAATAATTCCAGCCCCTAGCCCGATGCCTCAGGCTTGTCTTCCCTCCCTCTCGAATGTTCCTGCTTCCCCACCCCCTGCCTATTAGTTCATCAACCTCCCCACAGGTGCTGGGAAAGCAGGGCAGGCAGGGGTCTCTGCCCACTCGCGGCGACGCTGAGCCCAGGCCCACACTCCTGTCCCCTGGCCGTGGCGGCAATGGCCTGGCCTGCTCAGGAAGTCACCTGTGCTCCTCCAGGACCTACCACCAATGGTGAGCTTCCTCTTGAAAGGAGGCGCCAGACACAGCTAGGGAAGCCCTGGAATCAGGGTCCACCTCCCAGATCTTGAGACCACCTGCTCTGCCCAGCGAGCGCCTGCCCTGCCCACCCAGGCTTTGCTCCAAGCGTTGAGGCGGACAGATCTCAGAACACCTGCCCCACTGGACTGCCACGGGATGAGGCCAGTCCCGGAGCCCAGGGATCAATCAATCAAAGCCCACAGATATTTTGAAGAAGTGGCGTTAGAAGATTTTTAAAAAAATTTGGCTCTCCAAAGAAATTCCAATCGTGTACTGTTGATATTTGGCTCTGTTGTTGACTAATGAGTTTGCCGATCGCTGCTCTAGACCAATGGTCCTCAAAAAGGGGACCCCACACCAGCAGCTGCAAGACCTGGAATTCCACTTTAGTGAGAAATGCGGAGTCTGGGGTCTGAATCAGACACTACAGGGGTGGGACCCGACCATCTCTGTGCTGGCGAGTCTTGCCAGTGAGGCTCAACATTGAGAGCAGCTGGTGCAGACTCCGCCTCGGACAATGAACTCACTGCCCCAGGAGCCCGGGACCAACGATGTCTACTCCCGCCGCCTGTGGCCAGCGGCTCTGTGGGAACAGGGGCTCGCAGCGTCGAGGCTTGTGGGCGAGTTGGCTGGCCAGATGCCCGGTCGGCCATCTGTATGCGTGTACCATGTGTGAGTGCCCCCGAGACTGCTATCCTTCAACACCCACGCTGACCTTGAAAGCAGCCAAGCCACCTGTCCCCGAACCCCGGCGCCTGCCAGGCCTGACCTGGAGGTCCGCAGAGCTGTCCCCTCTCCCGTCCTTGATAAAACGGCAGCTATCACTAGGCCTGTTTTATAAAAGAAGAAACTGAGGCTCAGAGATACTAAGCACACACCCAAGTTCACCCACGTCGACGCTCAACCCCAGGTCTGTCTGGGTTCAAACCCACGGCGTTTTCTCCCCCATCCCGATCCTCCACGGACCACGGGAGGGGCCGTCATCCACGAGTCAGGCTTGCTCCACCCGGGAGCCAGGGAGAGCGGCGGAGTATGGAGCGTGTGCCCCGCGCCTTTTGTTCCAGCCTCATGGGGGGCCGTGTTTTCGGCTGCCTCTCCTGCCTGGCGGGAGTTCTTCAAGGCCCCGCTGTGGCTTCCACTGCCTTCCATCGATTCCGGTTTGTCCCCTCCACGCGTGCATGTTGAGGGGCTCCGTTCCGGTTCCCACCTCCGGCGTCTCGGTGCTCTGACCTGCTCTGTTTTCTGTGGGACTTGAGCTGCCCGTTGGCTGTAATTTGGCTCCTGGTGACTTGGTGTTCACGCGGGCAGCAGTTCCCAGCGTCTCAGACCCGGGGCTTCTGGGAGACCCCTCTGGTTCGAGAAACAATCATTTCAAAAGTGCAGCGGCGATGAGCTGAGCGGTCAGCAGCCCTGCCGTCCACGCTGAGCTCTGGCTTCTGCTGCCAACGGCGGGGCTCGGTGCAGAGGATTCCACTGTGTCCGGAGACCTGGGTTCGAGCCCTGTGTCTGCTGCCCTGGGCACGGGGCTGTGGACACCCTGTGCCCCTTCCTCCCCTCCGCCTCATCGGCAGAACAGCCGGTGCCACCCACTATGGTCTCCTCCAGTTCTCATTTCTGATTTCACCTTCTCGTGCTTTTTTTTCTTTTTCTTTTTTCTTTCTGAAATATATTCGCCGACATCACACTTTGCTTAGCAACACCTATTTCTAAAATTAAAAACAGGTAGGTGGAGGGTTTTGCTCAGACATCATTCATGCGTGTGTTCCTTTTCCCTTTGAGTGCTTCCGTTTTCTTCTTCACTTAATCAATAGTATTTATAGATCATTTGCAATGTGCCGAGAAATGCGTTAGGCACTGGGAGTGGGTGGAGCGGGGCCTTAGGAGCTCAGGAGAGGGCTTCGGGGCACATGGCCGAGCAGCTAGAGGGCTGGAGTCCCTTCACTCCTCTCTCTCTTTCCCTCTCCCTCTCTCCCCACAATCACGCCCCATGACACCAGGAATTTGTGGGAAGCAAGAGCAAAGAATGCTGAAACAGAGGAGCACGGTAGAACCACAGCCTTCAGACGAAGCCACCTGCCTGAATGTTTACACCTGCTGTGTTGGTGTGTCTGTGGCGGGCAGGAGCGCCTCACAGAGCATACGGAAAGCAAGAGAAGGACTGTCCTCCAAAGCCACCTGAGGGGTACATAGCACTCCGGTACACCCACTTCGGGGTAAACCTATGTAGGAGGCCCGACTTGTCGCCCACTGAATGGATTTCTAGGTGGGGACAGTGCTGACGGTGAGGCTTAGCGAGGTGGCAACTGGAAGCCACCAGACCATGCGTTTGCTTGGCTGCTCCTAATCAACGCTTCACGTTGGGTCCCATTCACTTGCGTTTCTGAGCTTCCATTTTACTAGAGGTGCCGAGGAAATAAATGGCCATTTCGTCCCCATGACAACAGTGGAATGGTACGCACATTAAGAATCTGGTGGGAGGGAAGGGGTAGGGAAGTGGGGAGGGGAGAAGAGAGAAGCCAGTGTGGTCTCTATGGAAACAGGCAAGCAGAACCAGGTGATCCTGTGGAAGGAAGGGGAGCGGCGCTCTAGTTTAAGAAAGGAAAATACAACCAGAAGGGCAGGACCGGGGAGGCAATGAGCAGGCCCGCTGGAACATGCGTAGCCTACCAATTGTGCTCTGGGAATCATGACAGGAAAAATAAGAGCCAGGGAAGAAAGCAATTAAAAAATTCAATACCTATAACTCCATTCTAGAAACGTATTCTATTTCCTATAATTGGGGGAGAAAGGTCAGCAGGCATGAAAGTGGCCAGACACAGAGTACAAGGCTTTTTCCTCAAAGCACAGCCTGGGATTGGTGATCACCATCCGGGAGCCAGAATCCCACCCCGACCTGCTGAATCAGAACCTGCATTTTAAAGGAGATCCCAAGTGACTCCAATCAAAGTGTGTGAACGAGAGCAGCTTGTTAAATCCGCCGAGGGAGCACTGACACACAGAGAAATAAGCAATGCTAACAGGAAGCCCCCAAGAGGCCCAGAGCTTTCCCTGCAGTGCCCCCAGGGGGTGGGGGAGGGAGAGCGAGCATCTACTCGGGTGCAGGCAAAAGGGTGTGCTGTCTAGAATTCAAAAAAAATACAACCATCCACTAAACGTTTTCGTTCAGTTTTGGCAATCCAGCTGGAATCAGCGATAACATTTTCCCAGCCAGGGGGCGCTGTGGCGGAGCCGACACACTTTTCCCTCCCACAAAGCTGTGCCTGGGGCACCTACGAGGGCAGCTGTGTCCTAATGGGGCTGCCCACTGGGTACTTCTCCGCTGAGGGCGGCATGGAGGCACTGGTGTCCTCACTCTCCATCTTCACCAGTGACACCTCTTTCATCACCACACGGCCTTTTAATTTGCCGGTTTCACAGACGCTTCATGTACAGACATCAAAGGTCAGCTATTCACGCAAACAAACCCTCTCCCGGAGGAATCGGCTCAGACAGTACTGACTACTCGGAGCGAGCTTCCTTTCCACCTCGCTGTGTGATCCACTGGGCAGAGGGTGAGTCCGTGTGTGGTGCCAGAGGAAGTCCCCCTGCCCGCAGGAGCCTCAGCTTGCCCCCTCTCGCCTGTCTCCTTCTTGCAGGGACAGGGAGGGGTGGAAGAGATTCTGGACTTTGGGGGGGGGGGAGGGGACATGTCCAGGGCAAGTCACCTTCAGAGTCTCTGATGACCCATCTACAAACCAGGTGTTTGCTGTCCCCTCCCTAATGGGCCATCTGTCATAAGGAGGGAGGGGAGGGGATGACTCTGAAGGGCCTGGCACTGTCTGGCAGGTGCATCATGGGCCCTGGCATGCAGCCCCACCAGTCCTCACGAGGTCCTGCTTATTCCCACCCAGGCCCCAGCCCAACCCTCACTCAGGTTACCCCCACTTCCTGCTCCTCCTCCCCAAACCTTTCTAGATCCAGATCAAGTCCCCACAAACCTCCCTCTGCCCCCGCACCGACCTCCCTCTCTCCTGACTTCTCTCTCCCCATCTGAACTTCCAGCCGCCTAGGCCAGCCAGCTCCACCTCGGCGCTGTGGGCACGTGGGTGATGCTCCTTTGCTGTGGGCTGTCCCCGGCATTGAAGGGTGCTCGCAGAAACCCTGGCCTCTGCCCAAGGGGCCAGCAGCATGTCCTCCTCCCTAGTTGTGACAGACTATCTCTAGACCTTGCCGTATGTCTCCCAGGGAGAGCCCCACACGGAGAACCACTTTCCTGGGTGGGTGACTGGGTGACGGAGCCGAGGACAATCCCGTTGAGACAACAGAGAGAGCTGTGACTGATTAGTAATGCCCGTTGATGGGCACAGTACCAGACACTGATGGTGTCTGAGCCAAGGAGCCCATCTTTGATGTAAAAACAATTTCAAGAGGAGTCTATAAATAGTAACTTGATGTAAACAGCCGAGTGCAAGCCCGGGCCTTTGGTATTTGTGTGTCCTCAGTGCCTGACACTTGGACTCTGCTCATAAATATTAATGACTGAGTTGCCGGCACGCTCCAGGCCTGCCCCTAAAGCAGACTTCCCCCATCCCATCCCATCCCATCCCATCCCATCCCATCCCATCCCATCCCATCCCATCCCATCCCATCCCCAGGTACCTTAATGATGCTCTGGCAGGTGGACAGAGGCAGGCCCACCAGGCTGGTGCCGTTGATGGACATGATCTGGTCCCCGATGTTCAGCTTCCCTGACTTCTCGGCGGGCCCGCCATGCATCATGTTGGCTATGATCACGGTCGGCAGGATGGAGCCCCAGCCGGACTCCACGATCACCACACCCAGGATCTCGCCCTTCTGCTTCTCTATGAAGACCTGAAAGGAGAGACACTTGGAAAGCCTGAATCAGCAACCCTCCAGGGCAGCGACAAATGCCAAAGCATTTGTCCTCTTCCTGCCGTGGCTGAAGCAGAGAGACATTTCCCTGAGACACCAACCCTATGGGTCCCGTCTTCTCCGGATTCCATGGCATTGGCCTGTGCAAGAACAACTCAACAGGGCCCACAGGTTCTTTGTTATTCTCATTCCGCACCAGCAATCTCTACTTGGCAATACAACCACGGGGGCACGGAGTTGTTTTTTCCTAAAGTCCCTGGGGAGGGCGGGAGTGGGAGAGAGTGTGTAGGTGAGAGCTTTGGTGGTGAGTTATGGCTTCCAGAAATAGCTTTTGGATTCTATGCACCGGTTCCCCTGTTCCACAACGCTTCCCAAATTCCCTCCAACATTGAAGATTCTTGAGTTAAAAGTAAATACATATACATCACAGAAACACTTCTCTGCGAGGAGAAAGCTGGAGAGAGAGAAAATATGCTAAAGTTATCACCGCCAAAAGGCTGGGAATGCACACAGGAGACCGTGCTGTAGGTGTGTGTCATTTTCTGTAGCTTTCCTTGGCGGGGTGGAGGAGACGGTTCGTTTGGGAGATGTGCTGGCTGGCGAGGTTTGCAGACACACACAAAGGGACAGATACTTGGTGGAAGATGCACCAGAGTGTGTGCACTTATTCATTCCTATCCACAGACGCCCATATGCTCAAACCTGCCCAGTAGTGGTGGCTGTTGGGGCCTGACAGAGCCTCCTTCACAGGCCAGCACTCCCTTCCCCCTCAGCTGAAGCTCACGGCTGGCCCCTTCCCTGGAGAGCTACTCTCAGCCAAATGGGAGTCACCCCTCACATGGGCTGAATTGTGTCCCAACACCCAGTGCTTTGGAATATGACCTGTGGGCTGGGGAAGGTGGAGTGCAGATCCTGTCTGCCCCCGGAGCCCACCCCAGATTTAGCTCAGGATTGCTGGAGGCCCTGGCTCACTAGTGACAGCCCTCTGCTATCTTCAGCCACAGAGCCCCATGTAATGTCCTGCTGACAGCACGCTCTCTACCCTGCCCCCACCCCATCCCTGGGCTCCCTGGAGCTTCGGCCGGGAAAGTACCTACATCTTTGCAGTTTTCCGACTTGGAGAAGTGGATCAGGTCGTCGTTGTACATGTCCTGGGTGTTGAGCAGGTCGCTGTACTCCTTCTGGCTGAGGTCCTCGGGGTTAATCCCATTGGCCCTGAGGAATTCCTGGTAAGCCACGCTGAAGGCCTGCCCGATGGACTGTGCGATCAGCTGGGCCTAGACGGCAGCCAGAGAGGGGAGACGAAGGTCAGGAGGGCAGCCCTGTTGGGGGATGGCCTGGGCCCCCTCAGGACCACGGATCCCAAGGCATCCGCTAGGCCAGTGGGGCCATTTTTGGTTTTGACAACAGTCCCAAGGGAGCCACGGGCAATTGGGAGACAGGAGTCAGAGACACTGGGCTTACAGCCATGGAGAGGACAGTCCTACATTCGACCTCTTACATAATTTTCAAATATTCCACTGGATGTTCATTACATGTAACCCTGTGTCTAATCATCTGACTTCAGGACTCAACTTTATATAAAAACACAAAAGACCTTCTTTATGCACATTGAATGTTCCAAGAACACAACCACTCTGTAAACGGAGAGTGACACTCTATTCTGGCCAGCACTTTACCAAGAGTCGGCGTCACCAGCATGAACACTGCTGTGTACCTGGGTTGCCAGCCAATCACATCACTGGCGGCTGCACATCTGCTGGCCTGTGGGTGACTCTGCCTACCTGTGTGCCTGTGTCTGTCCACTTACCTATTTTCTTAGTTACCTTCATTCAAAATGTCAGGTACAGAGTGTTTATAATACTCAGCTAAGGACTCTGTTTTCCCACCCACACTTACTGGTCACGTAGGTGCAAGCACCTCCTCACCCCACTATTCCTCCTGGAAGGGCGGAGCCAGGTACTCACATGTTGTCGTGAGTACAATGCGAATGGAGCCTGGGTCCTTTCGCTTCTCCTTGGCGTCCCATTGATAGCGATACTTTGTTTTGTAAAAATGTTTTCAAAAGGAGAGGTTCCATCATCTGTGCATTTCATTCCAGGATGGATAGCGTCTGGGCATCGAAATGTGTGTTGAGAACCCTGGTCTAGTCCAACCCTGTCTTTCCCAGGTGAGGAGACTTAAGACTCAGGGACACAAAGGACCCTGCTCCAGGCCACACGGCTCACAGTCGGGAACTCGGCTTCCTCTCGCTTTCTCCTGCACCGAGCTGTGACAGCCTTCCCTGCACCCATTCATCCGCATTCTGACGCAGGGTAGCCAGTAGCAACCGAGCACTTCCTACGTGCCTGCCGTGCACGCAGGTCTTTTCGAGGATCATTACAGAGACCCTCACAGCAAGCCCATGGCTGGTGGGAGTATGACTGGTCCACAGGCCCTCCTCCTCTGCTCTGCGCTTCAGAATTAGAAAACCGGGGATTTTAGAAAAATAACAGGATGATCTATCATGCATTGCATGACAACCCTTTTAGGGCCTGGGGAAGCGTCCTGTTAACGAACACAGGAATAGTCCTGCAGCGAAACGTACAAGAGTCACAGTAAGTGAGACAAACCCCATCAGTGACTTCCTGGCGGGTCAGGGCAGGTTTATCAGCAAAGTGACTCCCCAAGTCCCTCTGTTTGTCAGCGCTCTTTGGACTCTGGAACCGTGGCTCTGTGTTCCTGTCCCCTCAGACGGGTCAGGAGGCGGAGGCTGAGCGGTTAAGTTGTCCACGGCCTGGGAAGGAGGTGCAGTGGGGGCGGGGAAGGCCTGGGGGAGGGGGCTGGGTCCTGGCAGACTGATTTTAGGGTCCACCCTCCTTCCGCCCACCACATGGGACTGTCCCAGTGAAATGTGAATGGGTAGAAAACCACCAGCAAGTCTTTAGAGTGATGTTTTTTTTAAAAAAAACACACACACAATTCTAATCTCTACTCCTTTCCCTACCTTCCCCCGTTTTTGCTTAGAAGCAACTAATTAACGGAGATGGCAGTGCTTCTGTGTGGCCGGCTGTGGAAAAGAAATGCTCGCTTTTCTCGCTCTGAGAATCTGGCGGCTTCGTGCCATGGCCCATCCAGGCCACCGCCCTGCACCCTGTTGTGAGGTGGGAGGCAGGGGCCGCCTCAGGCTCGGAGGCACCGCACAGAGAACTGGACAGTGTGCGCCCGGGAACACGGCCAGCCGGCTCGCTGACCTCCACGCGTGGGTGCAGGTGCGAACACACAGGCCGCCGTGTTCCTCCACGTCTACCACGGCCACACAGCGGCCCGGTGAGGGGACAGTCTCCTGCAGAAGTTCAGCGGCCACACAGTCGGAACCTGGAGGCAGGATTCACCCTCGAGCTCTCCCAGGTCCCGTGCTTAGAAAGCCACGGGAACGATTCCCAGGTCCGCGCTGTCCTAACTCCTGCTTAACGCATTCTCCCCGTCATCATCTTCCCTGGCAGGAAGCCCAAGGAAAAGAAAGCCTTGGGGTTCCGAGCCAGATGGAGGTGGCAGAGGGCTCCTCATTCGTACATATGTGGGTACAGGGGGCCTTGGGCCCGGTGAGCAGGGCTAACCCCCCTTTTCACTGGCCTGCAGGACACACGAGGCTTACGGTTCTCAACCGGACTCTTTGGGAACTTTCTGAGGACCCGCTGAGGCTCCCTTTCTCCCCGTGTGCACGTCCGGCCTCGGTGTTAAAGGAACAGCAGGGAGAATGGCGGGGACCCGTGCTGCAAGCTCGCTGCCTAGTGGGCGACGTGTCCAGAGATCCAGATGGTGACAATGGTGCGGGAAGTGTAAGGGCGCCTCCTCCCGGGCTGCAGTGGGGCAGCTCCGACTCCCGGCAGGGGGGGGGGGGGGGGGAGGAGGGGGGGGTGGAAAGCACTTGCTTCTGCCCAGCTCGTTGGAGGAAGGCAAATGCCTGCAGCTGGAGGAGCTCATGGAGGAAAAATGGCTTCTGTAAGGAGCCAAGGTTGCCACAGGTTTTCTCTAAGTAGAAAGGGCTCTCTCTGCTCAACAGGAGACACAGAGCTTGTTTCACTGAGGTAGGAGGTAAAGCATCAGCATCCTGGCCGGCTTAGGTCTCTGCAGTTCCAAATCATGGGGAGCTGTGGCCGGCCCGGGGTTGGGGGGCTCCCAAGGCCTGCATAGCTTTGAAGACACTTGGATGCTGATGCAGCTGGAAGCTGGTGGCCTCACCAGCGCTTCCAGTCTCACCCAGGGAAGAAGACTGAATGGCAGGATGGGCTCCATCTCTGTTAACATTCCTTTTCTCTGTTCACTGCATCAGCTGGAGAGATGGGGTCAGGCAGCTTTTGACAGGAGCAGCAGCAGGTTGTCACCAGGACTGAAGGTGAGCAGGGATCCTAATGTTCCAGTAGCCTCCAGGATAGCCCACACAGCCAAGGACTTTATTCCCAAATGCCCTATTGCCCCGGTGAGACCCGCTCAGGTCTCCAAGGGCTGGGCTGAACACCTCCCTCTCGCCTCTCATTTAAGCTCTGGCAATTCGGGCTCCTGGAATTTCTTCAAGCTACCATCAGCAGGCACCAGCCTCAGGGCCTTTGCACAAGCTCTCTCCTCACTCCTCTTTGCTCAGATCTGTCAGATCTCGCCCCTCAGGGAGAACTTGGTTGATCATTCTCCCTGAAACAACCTCTGGCCCTCTATCCCGACCTAGTTTTAATTTTTCTTTATCAAACGTCCCGTTACCTACCTTTGTATTAAGTATATCTATCTATTTATCTTCTGTCTCTCTACGGCCCTCAGGAGTACCTTATCTGTTTTACTCAGCCTTATGTACCTAGCGCTAGAACAGGGATAGGAGGCTGAGTAACACACAGTAGGAACTCATATTTGTTTACACATGTCAGTCCTGAGAAATAGAATCTGGCCACCCAAAGGCAGTCCAGGGTCCCGGAGGGAGACGGGGGGGGGGGGGGGAGGTAGGGTGGTGGGGGAGTGCCCTTACGTCCTCAGACTCGAAGACATGGCAGATCATCTTGTACTGCCTTTTCCCGTCCTGGGACGGGTGCGAGGCCTCCACGTTCTCCTGGGAGTTGGAGCGCGGCATCCGCCGGCGGGCCATCAGCACGACGATGTTCCCGATGTCAGCGATGTAGGAGATGGTCCTCAGAGGGTGGTCCATCATAGTCTCCTGGATGGGGAAGGGAGAGGGCTGTCACTCAGGGCACCGTCCAGTGACCCCTGGGAAAGTCTGTCTCCCCACAACCCAGCCACGTGGGCTCCACATGCAGGGGCTCCAGTGCTCACAGCAGAGACCCTGCGAGCAGATGTGAGTGCACCCCCCGGCCCCCAACCTCCCCGCCTGGGGCCAGCTCCCTGGGCTCATAGTGACCCAGGAGGCCTGTGGCAGGTGAAGAGAAATGTCCATCATTTTATAACCACTAGACTCGCTGGTGGGGAAGGTAAAATAAAAAAGATAAAAATCTGCATGTGGCCAAAACCGGTTTGGCTCAGTGGATAGAGTGTCGGCCACGGACTGAAAGGTCCCAGGTTCGATTCCAGTCAAGGGCATGTACCTTGGTTGTGGGCATGTCCACAGAGGGGGTTTGCAGGAGGCAGCTGATCGATGTTTCTCTCATCAATGTTTCTAACTCTTTATCTCTCTCCCTTCCTCTCTGTAAAAAAATAAAAATATATATATATTTTAAATCTGCATGTGATGTTGCACTGTGTGTGTGTGTGTGTGTGTGTGTGTGATTTTTAAACAAAGATTTTTAAATGGCTCATCTGTTCAAGGTCACAAATCTCCTGATAAAAATGTATGAGATTACCAAACAACATTCACAGTTTCTTTTTTCCCTTTGTCTTTAAGAAAACAGCCCCAAAGCTCCCTCACACCCCACCCTGAGCAGCATTGCAGACACAACCTTGTAGTGTGTACAGAGGCCAGCATCTGGGGACAGCTGCTCTGCAGACGTGGGTATGGTCTCTGCGTTGCCACGCTGCTAAGCTTGACCCCCGGGAAAGGCGGGAGCCCGCTAATACCTGTGTGTCAGCGTTCAATACTTTGATTCTCTGCGTAGAAATGAAGAGGTCCACTTCAGTCATTGGCTGAGATTCGCCTTCAGGAGCCTGAGAAGAAAAAATGCACCGAGAGAGAGCTTAGTCCATTCCTCTGGCCCAGAAGAGGGAAGCGAGGTGAGCTCATACACAGGCATCGAGACACAGTCACCAGAACAGCAGTGCAGACTCCAGAATGAGGTTGTCAGAGCTGAAGGTGGGCACATGAATGAGCGTTAGCATGTGCAGGTCCCAAGGAAAAACAGAACCCCCTTTGCTGCTTCCGCTCCAGAAGCAGTAACGTGCTGTGGCAGATTTGGCTCTGGGACCGAGGATTGCCAGTGGCCCTTTCTGCAAGGCTGTTGGAGCCCAACGTATCAAAGGAAGAAGGGCAACCGAGCTGACACCTGAGGAACGTGGCAAAACCAGCCTGCCCCTGTGCCCGGGGCGGGGACCATGCTTCCAGCAGGTGCAGAGAAAGGCATCTGAATGCAGTTCTGGTCAGAGGGTCTTTGTGTGCACACACCGACACAGCAACACAGAAGCAGCACCCTGCGCCCGCCCCGTTCAGAAAGAGCCCAGTGCGCCCATGTCCCATGGGTAGCTCAGAAGCATCTAGAAGCTGCACAACTACAGAAAGCGTATCCATCCGGCTCATTTAAGGCTTAACTCCGCACACATGGGGGTTTATTAGCGAGTTTTCTTTTTTGCATCCAGCAATCTGACAAATCCGCAAATCAAACGTGACTATCATCGGACAGACCCACGTCCCTGCCACATCGATGCCTGAATGGTGGGAACTCTCACACGAGCGTAGGGCTCGTTTAGCGTCTCCAATCTGCTCCCTGCCGTTCCTCTCACGTGAAATGACTCATGAGCAACAGAAAACAGCCATTTTAGGCAACTGAGTTTTGAGAAACGTTGGCTTATGGGGCGGTTCAAAAAGAAATCGGAACAAAAACTTGCTGGATGCAGAAAACAAAAACACGAAATAATAAAAAAGGGAAAACATAAACAAATGGAAAGAACAGGCATAACACCAAGCTGATGAAGTTGTTTGTACTGCACCTTCTTCCTGCTTTTGGCTAATTTCTGGGCCATCTGCTTAGCATGGAACAAACAGAGACAGGAGAACAGTTAGAAAAGAATTCGCAAAGACTCAAAAGTTGAAAAGGAAATTGACAAACTAATACGGATAGTGGTATAAAGTATCGCTGTGGGAAGACTGATTAAAAAAAAAAAAGTCCCACTCTGTAGACAATGGATTTCCTCACTCGGAATTTAGTAGATGGCAGGGGAAGTAGGAGGAAGAAATTTATTGAGTTGCAATCTTATATTTAAACTGCAATCAATGTCTTCAAAGAATCAACTTCTGTTTGTTGGTTTTATGATATGCCTGTTCTCTATTTCATTGATTTCAGCCTACATCTTTATTTTCTCTTACTTTCTCTGAGCTGAATTTGCTGACTTTTTCCAGCTTCTTGAGATGAAAACGTAAATGGTGGATTTTCAAACATTTTCCCCCTGATATATTTATTTAGAGCTACGGCTCTCCCTCCTCACAGTGCTTTAGCTGTGTCCCACATATTTTGATTTGCTGCAATTTAATTATCATTTAAAACATTTTCTAATTTCCACTATGATTTCTCTTTTGAACTTGAGTCACTTAGAATTGTGTTATTAATAATAATATGTTTGGAGATTTTCCTAGTTATCTTTTTGTTATTCATGTCTGAATTAATTCCACTGGGACAGAGAATATACCTGATTTCAATCCTTTGAAATCTGTTGAATCTTAGCCTGTATGGCCCTGACTTTGGTGAATGTGCCATGGGGACTTCAAAAGACGCATTCTGCAGTTGTTGAGGATAGTATTCTATGAATGTCAATTAGGTTAAATATGTTGACCAAGAGTACTGTTCAATTCTTATATTTGCTGATTTTTTTTGTCTGCTTATTCTAATATTTATTAAGAGAAGTGTGTTTAGCTCTCCAGCTGTTACTGTGAATTTGTCCATGACTACTGTCAATCTTTGCTTTATCCAATTCATAGCTATAAGGTGCATACATATTTAAGATGTTTGTCTTCCTACTGACTCGATCTTTTGTTTTCCCTCCTTAGTAATACTTCTTGCCTTAAATTTGTGTGATATTTTGTAGCCTACACCTAACTAGAAATGAATGTAATATTCCCCTCTTTTCTCATAAACAAAAGTCTAGTTGATAAAGGCAGACTCTGGGGTTGAATTGTTTGAAGCTAAATCTTGGCTGAGCTACCTAACTAGTCGTTTGATTTGGAGTGAGCAACTTAACATCTCTGTGCCTCAGTTTACTCATCTTCAAATGAGAATAAACATAATATTGACCCTGTAGGGCTGTTCTGAGAATACATACATGCAAAGCTCTTAGAACAATGCCTGGTATATTAAGCACTATATTTGTGTTTGCTGTCACTTGGCTATAATTCACGTATATCAGGATGCAATTTCTTGGCTTTCCATAGGGCTTGCTATACACACAAAGATCTTGTACGAGTAATGGTGAGTCAATGGTCAAACCAGAAGGCTGCTGTGGTGATGGGGTGGGAGAAGGTCTGCTCTCTCACATTCTTGGTACTCACCTGGTAGAAAGCTCTTTTGCTCTCAGCAGCACAACCTTATTTCATTAATGACTAAGGTATCTTTCTGTACTACCTCATTGTGGAAAAACTGGATGAGTCAGCCACCCCAGCACCAAAGAGCTCATTTGTGCTACTCCCAGGAACCCAGGACGGCCCACGCTGCATGGCCACCCAAGCTCTTCCCGGTGGTCCTGGTGAAGAGCCTGCGATGGGAAGGCAGCAGGCAGCACCTGCAGTGTTACCCTGACTGACGCTCACGAGAAGTGCAGAGGTACCGATGCTACGTCCACCACCACAGGTTCTTTTGTGGAATCAGGAAGTTCTGACCGGCACCAGTTATAATGCGATGATAAAGAACTATTGTGAGATCCTAATGTTTGTTTTCTACCACTTCCCCTGAGATAATAGGATGTGAAGTGGAATGAAATGGCAGTAACGTAAGAATTTCCCTTATTTTTTGATACAAAAACCTAACCGTTATTGGTCAAACTGCTTCACTCTAGGGAATAGTGATCTGAAAGGGCCCTTTCAAAGAAAAGCAAGTCTGCCGCCAATGGAATGCCCACATTCTGTTTTATTTTGTTGTTGTTTTGCTAGAACTGGTGATAAGGAAGAGGATCTAAATGGCAGACTGAGTTTCATGAAAGCAATCTGAAGTAATGTTTAGGAAGTTAAAAAATAGTTTATGCACTTCTTAGAGGAATGCCACCTTTCAATCACTTATGACAGTCAAGTGCCCTGGAACAAATTATAATGTAAAATTTAGACATAACATTGGAAATGACAGAGGGGGTCGGAGCCAGGATGAGAAACTGGAGTAGCAGAGTGAAGTCTGAGAGAACCACAAGGCCAGCATGCATCCTAAAGCAAGAATGACAACATCCATTTAAATCCCGTGTTTCCTGGGATTACAGCTTACCACCCAGCAGGGTGTGTGCAAGGATGTAAACGGTGGCACCGTCCATTCAGTCACTCAGACCACAATGTGTATGGTTTATTAACTGTTAAGACCTCTAGCTTATTCATACCAGGGCTCCTCCCAACTATTGAAGCTTTCTCCCTGCTGACAGTATCCTTCTAAGTGCTGCAGGACCATCAATGTAAAAGCTGACAGCAGCCTTGTGAGGTAGGCACATTATCCTCATCTTCCAGAAGAGGAAACTGAGGCACAGAGAGGCTAATTAACCTGCCTAAGGTCACAGAGCTGTTAAGTGGCAGGACACAGATTCACTATACACTGAAAGTCTCACTATACACTCCAAATTGCTAGTTGTGTGATCTGGGCAAGTTTTTCATTTACCAAATCCTCTGTTTGTCTGAAAACAAAAATGGGGGGTTAAATAACACCTACCTCACAGAATTCCCCACCCCTTCCATTTTGAGGAGTAAATGAACTAATGTTTGCATAGACTTATTTAAGTTAGGTGGGAAACCACATGGCTGGGACAAAGCTAAATGGACAGAAATTTTAATTATACAATTAAATCGTAATTTTTGACATTTCAAGGAAATCTTTTTATAAAACAATAGAAAAATCGGATCTTTGGGGACAGGCTAGTCTTTACAGGTATAGGGACAATTGATAATGAATGATCCTTACAAAAATGCATGGACCAAAAAAAAAAAAAGGTGAAAACACTACTTGTGACCTAATCACATGAGCTTCACAAAGGTAGAAAGACTGAAAACATACACACCATGCTCTTAGTGCACATGGAGCAGTTACTGAGGCTCAGCAGGGGGCAGTAGCCACCTCCCCCCTCCCCCCCCCCCCCATCTTGCGGTTGAGGATTAGAGAATAAAGTGGGCGAGAGAGTGGAATGAGGCATGGAGATGGAGTGGAGAGAGAGGAAGACAAGGCTACACTGGATAGGGTTCAGGCGTGATTCCCACACTATGTGTGTGTGTGTGTGTGTGTGTGTGTGTGTGTGTACACTCTAGATACAAACAGCATGAAAAGCAAAGTTCTTTCCAGAAGTTTCTCCCAAAATGTGTTCCAGAGAATCCTAGCAACAAGACTAATTTAACCGGCACCACACAGTGATACTGCATCTCTGCTCAAATAACCATGGGAGCTTCTGGTTAAAGAGAGAGAACTAAATCCCCTGGCACAGGACTTCTCAGAGCCTTCAAAGGGGCAAACATCCCACAGAACCTACTTTGCAGCATTTCTTGAACTTATGTGCCAACAGAACCGTGTCCATGAGAGGCGCTCAGCTTGACTGGGATACCAGAGAGCTCAGCTGGACACGTAAACTCTCTGGAACCTGGACTGTCTACCCTTCTCTGATATGGACATCAGCACCTCCCAGGGATCTCCCAGTGGGGCCAGGGATCCCACTTTGAGAACCAGTGCTGTAATGCATTCCTAAGTTATAGGGGTCTTCTTGCCAAGATATTATTTTCTCTAGAAGTTAATGAACAACAAAGACAGAAGGGATACATTAGGGAGATTCTAAAGATGGTTAAAAAAAAAATAAAAAGAATGGCAAATGTCTTCTGGTCCAGCTGTTACATTAGGTGCATTTTACTTCGCATATTTTGGTGGGAAAAGCCTTTCAGTTCTCCACTCCTCAGCCCGCCCGGCATTACTGTTACTGTGATGCTTGTCTCCACGCCCTGTTAGGCTGCACGCTTCCCCAGGTCAAGGACTGGGTCTTGGTTGACTTTATGTCCTACAGACATTTGAATGGATGTAGAAGGAACACAAGGCAGATGATGTAAGTGAGAAGCAACAGCTCCTGCAGAGGCACAGCAGCACGCTGGGAAGTGATATCTATACGTGACATGTAACCATGTAACCTCACCCCTCTGGAACGAATTCCTCCACACTAGAGTCACTTGCTGGAGAAATAAATGTTCTTTAGATGCCAGTGGGTTTATAATCGGCCTCTATCCTGCTTGCTCGGATGGACAAAGCCACCTAATTTTTTGTGCAAAGGAACAGTGAGAATTGAAGTGAAGTGCAATAAAACGAGGTGCGTCTGTGGGTCATCGTAGGTGTGGTGCTGAGCCCTGCTTTATGTCTGGGAGATGTGCCTGTGCCTGCTCTCTTCCCCCTCTTCTTCCCTCCTCCCTCCCAGGTCATTGAGTATGATGTCTGTCTCACAGTGGAAAGTCAGAAACTCTATCTGTAGGAGCCAAGGATGGTCAATCTAGGAGGCCAATCAACAACATGCCCAGAATGAAACCTGACCCTTCATGTGTTTTAAACCTTGATGGACAGAACTCAGGAAAGAACTAATCTCAAAGCAACACACAGCTTTAGTTTTGGGGTCTTCAGTACTCATTCAGGATGGACTGCTGCTTTGTTCTGGAAGACTCGCCTAAGTGGGCCCTGGGCGTGTTCCCCGACAGGCATTCTGGAGGAGATACACCTTTGGCGTGTGGCCCCATCCTGAACACTGCAGGCCTCACCATCTCTGCTCTGACCCACAAAAGCCAATAGAAATGCCCCGACACAGTGACAATCCAAGTGCCCCCGCCCATTTCCAAACGCCCCCGTGGGAGGTGATCCCTGTCTGCCTGGAACCACTGAGTGAGGCGCACCAGGCCTCTGCCCCCCCATCGGCCCCCGGAAGCTGACAGCACTGTTAGGCTGGGAAACTAAGTGTTGTGTTGAGAGCTTAGCTAAGCTACTCGGTGGTCCTGTTGCCCCAGCATCTTTTTTGTTTGGCCAAGTGGTCTGCAGTGACCTTGAACGGACACTAGGCCCCTCATGCAGGCACATTCCCCAGAGAGGCACGAGCAAAGTAAGCTCCTATGACTCTCCCAACAGCCCTTGGTCAACAGTCTTCCCCACCTCCAGGCCTCTCCCTCTGTCCCCTTAGGTAAGACCCTGAGGAGCTTACCAAATCCTGACTCCTTCAGTGTGAACTGACCAATCTCATCCTACCTCAGGAACCCCAAGCACCACATCCAAGGATCCTAATAAAGCCAAGTTCCCAGGTCCTGCCCCACACATGCTCCTCTCTCCATCTCTGCCTCGCCTTGCCGTGACTTCCCCACACGGCCCCTCTAGGCCTTCCTCCAGGACCTGTGAGCAATAACTTATCGATTTTAATTTCTCTTGTGGCCTTCTGCTCACCATCTGGCACCCCAGGGTTCTACTTAACAAGTTTTAATTCAACAAAATCATAACATGCTGTGCTTGGTGACTGTGGGACACAAGTGTCAGAATCATGATCCTGACGATTTAGTTTTCCGAGTTCACTGCTCTGGGTGAAATAAGACTGAGATGCAGTATGTTCTCTCAGAGAGCTTTGTGGTCTTTCTTTGAAGGCTGTGCCTGGGAGATCCTAGATTAAGAACAGTGGGAGGATCTGGCAGTGTCCATGTCCCCCCTCTATGAGAAGGGGTGACAGTGGAAAAGAAATGAGGCCAGGCTTGGCTGGGCAGCTCAACAGGAACCAGATGTTCTCCTGATAGAATTACTGAGTCTGAAAGAGCACGAAGGTCTGAAGGTCAGGCAGGTATATTTTCATGGAGCTGTCCTGCTGGGAATCCTGGGGCAAGAGGCCCCTCTGTGGGTAGGAGGTGGAACTTCCTTTGAAGGGAGTGGACCTTCCTACTGTCAATCATCCTGGGAGAGGCTGATGATGGGAGAAAACATGAAACCCTCGGAAGTGGGCCTGGTGGGCGCAGTGTCTCTAAGACACAGACGAGGTCTGGGCTGCCCAGATGGAGGGGTGAAGTGGGTCCCTGACACACGAGTGAAACTGGCAGGACTGAGTCAGTAATTTTGGCATTGGGCTACCTACGATGCAATTATAAATTACTCTCTTGTTTATACATCCCAACTCCCAAAACTTGAGTAATATCACCCAAAGCTGCAGCGAGGGTTTGCTCTACAATGATGGGTACTTAAGGGCAGGGCCTCCTTGCTACTCAATTCATTTCTCATTTGTGCTGCTGAGTTTGAGGGTCAGGCTCTCGCCATTTCCCTTCCTCCAGAGACCCCCCACAACCTTGAACACATGAATGCTCAAGAAATATTTTGTCCGTAAGTGAGAATCAAGGACTCTCAGCACCTGCCTTCTCCCCGTGCTCCTTTCTCATTCCACGCTGACACACAAACACCAGGGCAAGACTTGTGAGTGTGTGGGCGAGAAGATATAAAAACGCGAATGGCTTCTAGAGGTGAGAACTGGTTTTGGCCAGCTGAAACTGGATACAGCCAACCCTGGAGCGCTCTCTCCTATCCCGTCTTGCTTGAAATACCTGGTGCTGGTGTCAACAGGGATGCTCTCCCTGTGGCTCCCGTGTGGCTGCCCAGCGGTTCTGGGTGCTGGTGGCCCCTAAGGACACGGGAGTGACATGATGACACTGTGTGGGTCTCTGTAGACCTGAGGTGTGTCTGGCTTCGGGTGGAGATTCTCGTGCTCTGTGTTCCCATGGGCTCACACCTGTCTGGCTGGTTCAAACCGGTTGTGAACGATTTAAACTGGATGAAGGTGGTTCTTCCTGAGCAACACAGGCCTGCTCCTTGCCCATCTTGGTGGAACAGACTCAAACGGGTTATGATGGACTCAGACTAGTGTAAACGGAGCTGGCCTTGTTCAGACTTGTCCAGACGAGCCAGGCCAGATCTGATCAAAGGGATGATCTTCCTTGAAGCAAACCAGTTCAGCTTAGCGTGAGCAGGACCAGCAGGTTCAAAAGCAAAGGACCTACTGTGAACCACGCTGCCAGTGGAAATACAGGACTGCAACTCTCACATTAGAAATGCTCCTCAACACGAGATCTGTCCTCGTCAGGTCAACTTCAGGAAGTTCAGGATCACATGTGTTCTTTTTCTCAGAGTGCCCCCTAACAACAACCAACACATACAGTGCAGGACCCGAGTCCACTTCAGAGATGGTCCTTTCTCTTCAGAACTGTGGCAGGAACATGCATAAGCCCTGCCTCAACGTCCCCCCAATCCACTCTCCTCTCCCCTCAGGACTGGACAGTGAGGTGTGGGGGTACCCGCCGCTGCCCCCCGCCCCCACGGAACACACGGCCCCCCTCACCTTGATCCTGCTCACCGCCTCCTGGGCCTGCATCATGCGCACGTTTTTGGAGGGAGTCTTGTCGGAGAGCAGCTGGGTAGAGCCAAGGTAATTGGCAGCAAAAATGATCCCATCGATTAAGTCTTCAGGGTCACAAGGTCCGGGAACTGTAACACACAGAGGCACCTTGGTGAGTGAGGCCACTCTGGGGTGGGCCTGCCCAACCCCTGCCTACATCCCTCCCCTCTGCTCACCTCTGGCCCTGAGCATTCTGAGGTACCCATATCTGCCTCCACTCACCCCTCATCTTCAAATATTATAATAGGAACAATTTTTTCTTATAGTCACTTATATATCTCACAGTCAGACCATTTACTGTGAGAAATTGTGTGTAGATTTATGTAAACACAGAACATGACATGTCTCATGAAGGCTCTGGGGACAAGGACAATGCCATCTTTGGCACTCGTGTCTGGTCAGCACCTGTCACCCAGTGGATATCAAATAAATAAGCAGTTCCTTGACTTGCTCCTGATTCCTATCTCCTCTCTCCATTTTATCTATGATGGGGGAAGTAAATTTTGTAAATAAAAAATAGAGATATTTGTTCCAGAATGTTTGGTTTCCGTAACAGCCTCTGACCCCAATTTTGGGAGACAGCTAACATTACTCGGAAGCTGCCGTCTCATGCTGTTGATGCTGCTGATTTAGAGACCCTAAGTTCCTGGCCTGCTTGTGCATACAGATCAGTTCCAGGGAAAAATGGGAATTTGTTTCATTGATCAACCTTTTAAATCAAACTTGAGCCTGGTCAGTGTTGCTCAGTGGTTAAGCATTAGCTCATAAACTAGAAGCTCAGGGTTCGAGTCCCGGTCAGGGCACATGCCTGAGTTGTGGGCTCAATTCCCAGTAGGGGGCGTGCAGAAGGCAGCCAATCAATGGTTCTTTCTCATCATTGATGTTTCTCTCTCTTCCTTTCCATACCCTCTTTAGAATCAATAAAAATATGTTTCAGGGGGAAAAAATCCAACCTTAGTTTTAAATAATTAAGATGGAGGTATCTGACTCTAACCATAATCTGCTGTACATGTTATTTGAAATTAAAACACGTCTGGGATTAATATATAACTAACTCTATAGATGTACTAACAAAGGCATTCTAATTCTGCAATGAAAACATGTATTTTCTTTGGCTTGAAGGCTGTATTCGGGGAGACTAAAATACACATCTTAACCCACAGTTAAAACCTCCAGGTCTTAAATTAGATTCCTTGAAATGGAAACAATTTGCTCTTTCCGTTTGGAGAGCTAATCTGAAATGGTTTTCATTTTTATCCTTCAAGATGAAGCGCATCTTGAGTTTAAACAGCCACCTCCCATGATAAGCTACTTATCAGGGGGCAGACTTAAAATAATCTGTTCATTTTTTTCTAAAACCTAGGTGGTGATTGAAACAAAGGAATTAACGATGTTGCAGGAAATGCCTTCACCAAGTGCCTGTGTAGTAATTAAATAAGGAAACCTGTTATTTGTCTCATTCTCGGTCTTTCTGGGAAAGACTCCTAGACAAACACTGGGAGGTACACTGCCATACTTGTAATTTCCATTCTTCTCAATAACCACATACTCCTCACCCTGAAACTTCGATGGATGTGGGACGAACCCAGGTTACTGACAATATACAGTGGAGTGGTACAGCAGGGAAGCAGGAGTCCAACTAAAATAACACAAGGACAAGCTTGGAGCCACCTGTGTTTTGTGAAATGTGGAGGATGACCAGTCTTCCATTACAAACTCCTGCGATGCTCCTGAACCACAGTCACTTTTGCCAACGAGGCACTGAGAAAGATGATCTCATCGGGGACAGTCACTTTTAAAATATTCGCTTGTGAAAATAACAAATGCCAAAGAAAAAGAAAAATTAACCACCTCTTTCTGGGACTTCCAATACCATATTATAGTCATTTCTGATTTAGCTCTCCTCACTGAAAAGGCTCCCTCTTGAGGCCTCCTAAGTGTGGATATGCAGATGTGTTTAAGAGCAATCCAAACAATATTTAAACGACTGTGTAAATGTCAAGCAGGCAGGAGACAGAAATATTGGGTCTAAACAAATTATACATTCAAGATATAATCTCATCCCTTTTATCCTCCAGGGAAACTGATTATAATCAAATGTCACTGTCACTTGATCATACTCAGCAAAAAAAAAAAAAAAAAAAAGCACCCTAATTTCATAAGTGCATTTTAGGGTTAGTGTGTTATTGAAAAAACAAAAGTTATATGTTAAGTCTAAGAATCACAGGGTTCATTTTGGTCTTTTGGAATGTGTTTTTCTTTTCGGTGATGCCCTTGTGTTACTCTGAAGATGAGCAAGCACACACACACTATATATAGGCTTAGCATTAACATGAGGTGTGGATACATACATACACACACATATATCTATCTATAGATGAGTGATAGATAAATAGATGATAGATAGATAGACTCACCTCATGTTAATGCTAAGTCTGAGCACAGCTATGAAGAATGGGGTTTCCAAACTTCCTATCACTCCCACAGCTGCTCTCCTAGAATTGTGGAGCTTGACAATAACGGCACAGAGAACCTACAGGTTACTTGGGAATGGGACCTGAGTCACTGAACCTACCCCAGGAGCAGGTTCTGGGCGTCAGACCTGAAGAGGGGTTTCGTGCCCAGGCAGTAGGACACACTGGTTGGGATCCAAAGACCAGCCATGACCCCAAAGTGATGCTTGAGCATGGTCTGGCACCAGAAAATCCTCCTTCAAGGACATGACAACCCACCCTACCTGAGAAAGCATCTGCCCTCCTCCTGGTGGAGGTCGCTGCCACCTCTGGCTTGGGGTGCCTTTGTGTGAATATGAAACGGACACTGTATATGTGTGGCCTGCCCTCAACCTGGGGTGGCCAGGTTGGGCAGAGTTTGGGCCCTACTAGGCTGCTTGTGCAGCGAATAACCTGCACAGCCACGCATGGCAGTCCTGCGGAGAACGCAGGGAGAACTGTGCAGTCAGACTGCTGGCTGACAGTCTGCTCTGCTACTTGCTAACGGTGCCATCCAGGGAAAGTTGCTTCCCGCTTGGATGCCTCAGTCCTCATACATAACACGGAGATAATGATAAAACCCCCTTCACAAGGGGGTTTCAATGAGTTATTACATGGTAAGTGCTTACAACAGTACCTGGAAAAGAGTTAAGTCCTTAATGTTTTTTTTTTTACTAACTCATCCAAGCAAGAGACGGGGATTATTGGGAAGATTTTGTTTTGTTGTTGTTTTTGTGTTTTTAACGGAAGAGGACCAAAATGTCTCCCCGTTAGTTAAGGCTTATTCCCACTTGAATAGCCTGCGGTGGAATAGAAGTGGGGAGTCTTGGGTTTCAGATCCAATGTGATCGTTACTAAGCTGGGCAAAGGCCCTACCCCCCGGGCTCAGGTTCCGGGGACAGAATCAGCAAGGGCAGGGAGGGTGTCTGAGAGGCTCACAGCTACCGTTCTTTTAGGCTAAGACTCTAAGACTGTGAAGACTGTGAATTAACTGGCTCGATGGCCTTTCTTCTCTACCATCATCTCCCAACCCAGTGCTTCCAATGCCCTCAGTGCTACAAGATTCATGAATGACGCAGTGCTCAATATCTCCTTTTAGCTCTTACCTTCAACGTAGGTTGGGAATGAAGCCAAGCTTTTTCTTGACTGTAATTAAGACAAAGAAGTTTCAAAAAGGGCAAAGCATGATGAAAAATGCATTAATACAACCATCCATGTAGCATAAAATACAAATACATCATCAGTGTCAGATATTAACCAGTTGTCAACCATTCTTGGTAACAGAAAGTAAAGTGTAGATAAACACACGTTTCTTATTAAACGTTACCCAGAGCCCAGAGCCATCCACTCATATATTAATTAGGTCATTTGAAAATCCTACATTCCAAATCTGATGTCTGTCAGCTTAAAAAAATACCCCACAAACCAAAATCCATTATCCACAATCGCAATAAAAAGGGCTTAATTTGTATTCTTAAGAATCCCAGCTTCTAAGTAAGAACTGATGATTAATGAAAACACCAACATCATTATATGCCGAAATTAAAAATTTTCTTGGAAAATTTTATTTCATGTCAGGTCTTTGCTGCAGGGATCTCTCCCTGTGCAAAAACATTTGCTGGAATTTTCTCTCTTCCTTTCATCTCTTAGTGACTTGTTTTAGTCTGAAAACTTCACTATATATGCCATTATCATGTATTACTTTAAAACAAACAAAGGAATAAATTAAAGGCCCTGGAATTTTGTGTATTAAGTGACAACTCGGATCAAAAGTCCATTTCCCAGCAGCACCCTTGTTCCAACAGGAAACCTTCCAGAACCTGACTGCACAGCAGGGTAAATGCTGGCTCCAGGGGAGTGCTCCTGACCCTTCGGCTCCTTGTGTAAGTGGATGCCCTAGAGGAAACTCTGAGTGGCACGAGAGTAGGAAACCCATCCCTGATCTGTCTGGGACAGGGTGAGGTGAGCAGGAGAGCGGAGAGCTAATATCAAAGGCAAGAGTCCCTACAACAGGCAAAAAGTAGGGTTTGGGATAAGCTCAGAAAGCCTAAAAAAATTCATTGCTAATACTCCACCAGTTGTTAGGTAACCTTTTAAAGACCTGCATTTTAGGAAAAGGATGTCTAGTGGAGCATAGTTGCTCAACAGGTTGACTTAACTGAGGGTGTAGCCATGGGATGCCAGGTGGGCTGGAAGGGTGAAGGGCCTGAGGACTGAGATGTCATGGGAAACAATTCCAGATCATACGACTCTGTACAGTGATCTTCACTCGGAAGACTTCAGGAACAGCAAAGGAATGGTTAGTTGATTTGCACAAAATTTTAAGTAGTAGTAGTGTTAATTGTTATGTCAAAAACTGCAGGCAATGGAAGACACTTAATTTTAGGGATCTAACTCGATTCAGGACAATGACAAGCATTTAACACTAATCACGCAATACACTGTGCAGAGCGGCCTGCGGTGACGTGCCCACTGGGATGAAATGCTTCCTCCCACCCAAGAGGGTGGGTTTCTGGTTTCAGAAAGGATCACCTTTAAAGAAACTAAAGCTACAAGTCCAGCAGGAATCAAAGGTTAACACATTAATGGGAAAATGCACATCAAGTGAAAGCCAAGGAATCGGGACAGGAGGAAAGAGAAATCCAAGTTCAATAGTGCTTTACGTTACTTTTACTTTCCATTTATCCACATGAGACAGCAGGCCCAGGTGAGTGCTGACAACCACGTCTGTCTATTTCCACGGTTTCAAGAAAAATAATTCTTAACAACGGGGCATTCCGAAGGAAGCTAGTGTCTTCATAAGGGCCAAAGATTCCCGAATTATTATTCCCCAACCATCCCCCTGTCCTTGTCCTCAGCCGCTAAAGGTTTGGGGTAATCTGGGTTTACTTTGTTTAATCAAAATGCTCAAGCCTCCAGGTAGCTCCAAGAAGCCCATGCAGATTTTCTTGGGCTATTCAGGGCACTTTACTGAATGCCAATCTCTAGGACAGTGTCCAGATTTTAGTAGAAACTGCAGGAGAATGACTTCAGTCTAAAGCTCTAAAAACTGCCGTTTTATTCGGAACTACAATGGAGGGCCTTTGGTACATTTGCCTGTTCTCTATTCATGAGCTCATGACTGGCTTTCTTTAGTCTCGGGGGTAGTAATTTTTTAAAAAGATTTTCTGAAATGAAAGAATCGCTAATTATTGCACACAAAGAGCATTTTCATCATTATTCCTACGGATCTGTAGAAGCATGTGCCAAGTCCTAGAGGAACCGAGAAACTAACAAATTTGCCTTGCTCATTATAGCTGATGAATAATCAAATACTGAGTATTCAGAAGTCTGATTAGCCCTTTATTTTCTCAGATGGGGGCAGAGATGAGCATTAGTTAATCCTTAACATGCAGAAATTAATAAAACCAACATCCAAGAAGGGAAAGGCCAAACGCTCTGGGGTTTTCCAGGCCACACTAACCACGTGCAGAGCCTGGAGGCCTGATGACTGGATCGTGGCAGGCGAGCCACCTTCCCATGCCGTGTGCGACCTGCAAGCACTCTTCACCCCCAGGACGGCCGATCCTGGTGTTAGGAGCCCACAGGCATACTGGGTTCAAATCCTGGCCCCACCAGTTGTGAGCCCTGAGGCCTCAGGTAAATTATTCAACCTCTCCGCTTCCTTAACTAACACAAAGGACAACAACTCAATATGAGGCAAAGCAATGGGAGAAAGGGGCAGCAGAAACTGTTCCTTTAGTCCTCAGGCCTTATGGGCTAAGGATCAAGACCAGAGGAGGACAAAGGATATTCCAAATCTAAATTCTAATGTTTGATTTATATCAGGGGTGGAACTGAAACCGGTTTGGCTCAGTGGATAGAGCATCAGCCTGCGGACCGAAAGGTCCCAGGTTCGATTCTGGTCAAGGGCATGTACCTGGGTTGCGGGCACATCCCCAGTAGGAGGTGTGCAAGAGGCAGCTGATTGATGATTCTCTCTCATTGATGTTTCTAACTCTCTATCCCTCTCTCTTCCTCTCTGTAAAAAATCAGTAAGATATATCAGGGGTGGGGAACGTCTAGCCCGAGGGCCGTAGAAGGCCGGTGAAATCATTTGGTCCGGCCCTACCGAGGCATTAGGAGTTAATTAAGTGTCTGACCAAATACAGCAGGCTAATTTTTAAGTTGATAATTTTGTATGGCCCGTGAATGATGTTATAAATACCCAAATGGCCTCGAGCAGAAAAAAAAAAGGTTCCCCACCCCTGTTTGTATAAACAGATTAATAAAAAAAAAACAAACACACTTCTCCCCTGAATGAATATTTAATGGAAAATGTATATGTATTTGATGATACTTTAAAGGTCAATTTCAACTAAGGCTTCCTTTGGAAGTGATCTGCCACTCACGCTAAAATTTAACATAAAATCATAGCAAGAGGAGGGAAAGGGGAACAATCCTTCGTCCTGTGGTGTGGCCGCCCTAACACATCCCTCGGCGGGGATGAGGCAGCCTCCACAGTCAGAGCCAGCGGGGACCACACAGACTGTGCCGCAGGCCAGATGCTGGCTGCCAAGGCGGTGGAGTGGCGGTGGCGCCCCTCAGGGAAAAGCTGGGTGTCAAAAGATGGCGGCGCTGGGGAAGGTGGTGGCGCCCCTCAGGGAAAAGCACCTGCCCTTTTTAGCCCTAGGAACCTCAGTGGGAGCAAGCAAACATCTTCTTGCTTACATGTTTCCCACCAGAGCTCAGTTTGGCCTCCCTCAGGAGGCGGCAGGATGATACAATTCATTGTCCAAAGGGACACCACAGGGCTGCAGTGTCCAGGAGCCCCTCGCTGCACGTGGCCGTGGAAGGCCACTGAAACGGAACAGTGGGCCTCAGGCTCACTAGTCATGTGCCAAGGGCTTGCTAGTCACCCGTGGCTGGTGACTCCCCCAGAGGACAGGACGAGTGGAGCCCTCCCGGGGCTGCCGCCGGGTCTCTGAACAGACTGCTTTCAGGAGTGAGAGGATGCTCACCAGTGAGCAGTGGGACAGCAGGTGTGAACTGCAACCACCGCGGCTAAACCAGGACAAGTGGTCACCCTGTTGCCAGGAAAGGTACTTCACTTGGGCAGGAAATCACTGGATTTTTTTTTTTTTTAAATCAACTGATTGCCGAAACTAGTTTGGCTCAGTGGATAGAGCGTCGGCCTGCAGACTAGAAGGTCCCAGGTTCAATTCTGGTCAAGGGCATGTACCTTGGTTGCGGGCACATCCCCAGTGGGGGGTGGGAGGGATGCAGGAGGCAGCTGATCGATGTCTTTCTCTCACTGTTGTTTCTAACTCTCTACCCCTCTCCCTTCCTCTCTGTAAAAAAATCAATAAAGATATATATATATATATATATATATATATATATATATATATTTTTTTTTTTTTTTTTTTTTTTTTAAATCAACCCACTTCCCAAGCTACAGAGTAGCTGTCAGTCCACGGTCCCCGAGGCCTGTGTGCCACGAGGAAGGATGCTGCCACAGAGATGCGTGGATGCCCAGCACTGTCCACTGGTGGGAACGTTCCACAGTCTCCCTGGTCCAATACAGAGGCCACTGGTCACGTGTGGCCACTGAGCACCTGAACTGTGGCTAGTGTGCCTGAGGAGCGAGTTTATTTCATTTCTCAACGAAAACGGACAGCTGTAGATGTCACGCCCTTGCTCGCCCCATTCCACAGTGGAGAGAAGAAAATAATTTCTCCCCCGGATGCTTGGGGTCAGAAGCGCCGTGGGAGGCTGGGGAAGGAAGGCACAGGCCAGAATCAGGATGGAGGATGAAGGGCCCGAGGCCTTTGAAAGGAAGCATCTCCCTACCTCTTTGTTGGTGGAGCCTTCCGCGGGGTCGCCGGGATGAAGGGGTGTGCTCGAAGACTCTGCGCCCAGGGGCGAGGAGCTGCCCGGAGAGGGAGACTGGAAGAAGCAATGGAACAACAGTGAGAACGGAGGGGCTGGGAGCCCGGCCTGCAGGGAGGGGCAGGGGAGACAGCCGAGCACAACCCCCCCAGCATTCGGTGGGGAGAAAGCTTTGTATGTAACGGGCCTGGGTTTGCCCAGCTTTCCTTTAAATTCCTGCCGTGTTTTCAAAGGGAAGGGGCCCTTAGAGCTCAGCTCCCCCAGCCGCTTAAGGTAAGGTGACCAGACATCCCGCTTTGGGCGGGACAGTCCCGATTTTGAACAATTTGTCCCTCGTCCCGCGGCGTTTTAAAAAAGTCCCGATTTTTGAAAAATTGGGACTTTTTTAAAACACCTCGGGACAAATTGTCCAAAATCGAGACTGTCCCGCCCAAAGCGGGATGTCTGGTCACCTTACCTTAAGGCCAAGTGTTAATTAAATAGCAAGTTTTGAAAGTCAAACTTAAAGTTCTAGGTGAAAAAGGTAACAAATACACACATGTCTATGCTTTAAAATATTTTCTTACTGCAGGACAAAGACTTTGGGTACTAAATGTCAATTAAGATCACCTGCTCAAGAAGATTTGAGTGGGGGAAAAAAAATTACAGCATGTATTTTTAAAGAGGTAGCTGGGATGAACTCTGATGATTAGAAACTGCACCACCTGTATTTTCCTAGTCGATTCAGATATAATGTATTCTGACTTACACCACGGAAAATTCAGAGAAATTTCAGCATTATCTTGCCTATCCTTAAAAAAGTCCAAACGTTCTGTTAAGTGGTATATTTAAAGCAATTACACTTCTAGTATTTATCCGAAGAAAAAATACAAGAATTCAAAAAGATATCTCTATCCCCACGTTCACTGCCACACTGTTTATAGTAGCCAAGGTATGGCAGCAACTAAGTGTCCATAGACGAGTGGCTTGAGAAGATGTTATATATATACACATACATATATACATACACACACACAATGACATAATAGTCATAAAAAAGAAAGAAATAGCCCTGGCCGGTTTGGCTCAGTGACTAGAGCGTCAGTCTGTGGACGAAAGGGTCCCGGGTTCGATTCTAATCAAGGGCACATGTCTGGGTTGTCCGCTTGATCCCCAGTGGGGGGGGGGGGGCGTGCAGGAGGCAGCCCCCACTGGGGATTGTGGTTCTCTCTCGTTGATGTTTCTATCTCTCTCCCCACCCCCAGCTTTCTCTCTGAAATCAATAAAAATAAAAAACTATTTTAAAAAGAATGAAATATTGGCATTTGTAACAAAACGAATATGCCTAGAAGATATGAGACTAAATGAAATGTCAGAGAAAGTCAAATACTACACGATTTCACTTATATATGAAGTCTGAAAAAAAGAACAAATGGGACGAACAAAACAAAACAGAAACAAACTCACAGATAGAGAACAAACAGATGGCTGCCGGAGGGGAGGAAAGTAGGGTGATGGGTGGAAAAGAGAAAGGGGATTAAGAAATACAAACTTTCATTCCTAAAGTCAGTCCCTGGGATAGAGTGTAAGGCACAGGGAGTGTCGTCAATAACATCGTAAGAACTATGTATGATTGCAGATGGTTACTAAACTTATTGTGGTGATCACTTAGGAAAGTACACAAATGTTGCACCGTTACGTTAGACACCGAAGCTAAGATAATATTCTATATGGACAGTGGTTTAAAAACGTAAAAAATCTTTAATGAGTAAAATAAGGCTTGAAAATAGAGTCAGGGAGTATGGCCCCCATCAGTGTGTGAATGCCTCAGAAGCATGAAGCTCCAGGCCAGTGCCTGACACACAGCACGTGTTCCATACATGCATGCTGAGTAAGAGACCAAAGCCAGCAAGCAGGAACGGGACTAACCCGGGCTCTGAAGTCCCTCCCTAGCCGGCCCCCGGGCCTTTCTGATGCTCCTGAAACCTTGGAAGAAGGGGATGTTCAGGTGAGCCACAAGATGCTTGTGGATTCTGTAGCAATGGTCCTCTGAGAGCAAGAATGCGCTGCTTCACAGTTCGTTGGTGATGTTTGATGGAGGACATAAAACGGAACCCACACGAGGATCTATCCTCCGAGGAACCGTGGGGATGTGGACAGGGGAGGTAAGTCCCGGGAAAAGGAAGCAATGGCTGCGTGAATCTCATCTGATATCATGGCACTGGCTCCCCTGGGGAGGCCGAGGCACAGATAGCAGTAAAATACCGCTGTGTGAAAAGCAAGAATGTTCCATAAAACAGTAGTGCTGAGGAGGGAAGGAGGCACATTAAAAAGAGGGACCTCAGTGAGCAAGCAGTATGGGAAATCACAAAAAATACGAGATGTTTTCCCAAAAGTCTGAATTACAGGAAACACAGAGGCACCAAATGGGTTGAAAGAGGATGCGGTGAAATGCAGAATTCTTCACACTGAGATGTTGTGTGGTCCCAGCCTATGGCTACAAGGCCTGGATTTATTTCCCATGAGCCTGTGCTCCCGATTCTGAGCAGGGAGGTGAGGGTCACTGAATCTCTAAGACATTCACGGGCAGAAAGCAGCTGCCGGGCAGTAAAGCCCAGGGTAACAGCAGACATAAAGCATGCCAGGCCCTGAGGCACGGGGTGCGAGGAAATGGCCTTGCGTGCCTTTAAGAAGGAACACGGTGTTTTTCACTCGGTGCCCAGGAGAGCTGGTGGGTACTTGCTGAGTTAGCTCTCCGTTTAGCCTACTCAAAATTAATGTAGTAAAGTCTTCATGAGAATTTAATGCCTTTAAAATTCCCCAATTTTTCAGGTTTGAAGGGCCTCCTTAGATATTTATGTGTCTCTATTTCCCCCTAAGCACTTTCCTCTGTCACAAGGATTTTAAGGGTCTGGTTCCTGGGAAAGCTGGTGCAGCTGGTCTTTCTTTCATGACTTGGTTTGAAAGGCAGGGTGTCACCTTCATTAAAAACACAGCAACCCTCTCAGAGAGCCCCATCGTTCCTATCACGTTAACGGTTTTCTGTTGCAAATCTTCTAAAAATGGGTTCTCTGCTACGTTGTGGCACTAGATCATCTCAGGGTGATGTGAGCGGAAGCACATCCAAACAGGACGCTGGGGTGAGGGAGAGCAGATCAGAACCCACAGCAGGGCTGAAAGACCAGCGCTGGGCACCCATCACAGCACCTGGAGGAGAGGCATAAAGGCACCCTCACTGAAGTTCTCACAGCACCCACACCCCTCAGACACTCAACGCTCCAGCCTTCGGCACACAGATGAGCTCACTCACGTCTCCTACTTACAAGTGCAGTTAATTACCTCCATCCAGAGAGTCCTCCCTCCTGCTCTCCTGTGTTCCATGAGCAATTTGAAAGCACTCATCTTGCTGAAACTGTCCCACTCTGTCTCTCCTGATGGCATGCACCGGGGTTTGTAATGTGTGTCTCTTCCCGCACCATCCCTCCCGCCTCCCCACCCACCCCGCCCATCCAGGGGTCTTGTCTCATTCATCGTTGTAATCCAAGCGCCTAGCCTCGGTCGCATAAACAGTAGGCGCTCAGCCAACGTTTACAGAATAAACAACTTCCATGTAGTCTGCAGCGCTGCCATGTTTTCCGACTTGTACAGAGTGCACATCAGCCACCACCCTTTCCTTCCTTGTAAATGGTCAATGGCAAGCCCTCTCCTGCTACAGCATCTCCAGGCTGTTCTGTAGAGCATATTATTCTCCATTTTGAATGAGAGGAATATTCTTTGCCTGAGAAGACCCTGACCTCAATGCCAGCATAGCTCTTCTGAAGCAGAAAGCGGGCCCGACACGAGAGGGGACCCCACCGAGGGGCAGCCTACGGCTCTCCACCCCACTGCCGACAAAGCCATGGTGGACAGATGCTTCGGAGAGACACAGCCTCCGTGGAGCCGGAACAAACATGCTAGTGTCAGCACAGCTCCAATGTCTGCTTGAAAAGCCCTTGCCCCTTACCTCCCACCTCTGCCTCGCTGCTCTCAAAGGTGGAGAGAAAACCAGAAATTGGGTAATGCTCTTTCCTGCCAAAGAACTATTAGAGGATAATTTTTAACCACTGAACTACGCTACAAAAGTAAACATGGTTACTACACATTGCTCTGTCGGAAGCCTCAGGCCTTCTGGGTTACGTGATCGATATTCGATTTTAGGCAAACGGGGCCAGCTGTAAGAAGCAAACGTGGGCTCAGCAATTCACAAAGAAGTGTGCCACATGGACAACTCCAGGAGGTAGTGTTCGGAGACAACTCAACAGCTCCCTGTTTTAAGTAATGACAGGAGGCCTCCTGGAGCTCAGCTGCTTACCTTCTGCAGACTGTGTGCCAGGGGATTCTCCACAACCATGGTCTACATTCACAGGGGCAGCCATGTGGCCCTGGGGTCTCCCCAAGCAGAGCTCCTTTCCCTACGACTTGGGATTTTCTATGCCAGGACGAGAGACGGATAGTTCTTCCGTCAGAGGTAGCCTAAGGGTGTGAACGCGTCCAAAGGGAAAGGTGATTATTCATTTAAATTCTGACTGAACACCTCCTGGCGCCCAGTCCTCTGTGACTGGTGGTAGGCGTGAGACCAGCAGCTGAAGGAACTTTCAGGCTATCCTTTGAGGGGGAAGGGCATCACGCGAGTAACTGCTATTCACTTATTCCTGCCACAGAATTTCAGATCCCATCTGTGTTCCTAACACGGGGCGGGCAACAAACAGGGGTGGTCCTTTCCTCGACCCCTTCCAGGACAATGGGAGGAGTCAGACACGGGAAGGCAGGGGGGTGGCACATGCTAGGATAGCAATCTGTCCACGGGGCTGGGTGGGAGCAATCCTGCAGGAGGGAATGGGTGTGTATCAGGCAGAGCTTCCTTCGAAAGGGAATGGTTTCCGCCGAATGCTGAAAACTGCAGTCTTCAAGAAGCAGGGCGGGAAGGTACTGGAAACAGAAACGGGGAGGCAGGAGCACAGTTCTGCAGGGAAGTGAGAAATGCGCTGCAGAGCAGGGCAGGGACCGGGGACTGGGGCCCGCTTGGTGACAAGCAGCGT